ATACCCTGTATTTATTGGCGCAGCAAAACTTGAACCAATTTGCTTTCAGTTCTGTTTGTTAGCTCTGTTATTAGCGCAGTTATAAAGTAGATATCTGAGCCTATATTTATCTAGCATTATCGCCTATAATTCGCATATTAAATATTAGCACAGAATCTGTGTACTATAACGTGATATTGTGTCCAAGTCAAGATAAGCTCCGAGCGGACCAACAAATTGTTTGCTTCATTTTTCATTTTTTTTTCCGCTGTTTTTTTTTTTTTCGCTAAATATTTCTTCATTTATCGCAAATTGGCGCTGCTCTAAACAATTTTTAATTGGCAACGAAATTGAAACCCAATTGCCGCAAATCCCTCCCCACCCCGAAACCCCTGCCAGCATAGTCCGCTGGAAACGAGTTTCCTCGCACACTCTAATTTACCCCCTCCACCGTCTTGCAGGCGAATAAACATGGCCAAGCGAGCATGGGAAATGGGAGTGCGAATGGGGGCACGGAACGTGTGCCGCCCATTGGTGGCTATCAATGGCCCGCGGATCAGACGCCCGGCGTGATGGGGCTAAAGAATCATGGCAACACCTGCTTCATGAACGCGGTGCTACAATGCCTCAGCCACACGGACATCCTAGCCGAGTACTTTGTGCTGGATCAGTACAAGGTAAGCTCCAAGCGACATTTAAAGACTTCGTATTGAAATATACCCTTTTGGTTTGCAGGCGGATCTGAAGCGTCGCAACAAGATCAACTCGCGCAAATTTGGCACCAAGGGCGAACTAACCGAGCAGCTGGCCAATGTGCTGAAGGCCTTGTGGACCTGCCGCAACGAGAGCGATCACAGCACCAGCTTCAAGGCGGTCGTCGATCGCTATGGCACACAATTCCGGAGCTCGACGCAGCACGATGCGCAGGAGTTTCTGTTCTGGCTGTTGGACAAGGTGCACGAGGATCTGAATACCGCGAGCAAGCGGCGCTACAAGAGCATCAAGGTAGGTGCCATTGAGTTACACGCCCTTATACCCGCTCATATTAGAATTTGTTCAACACACAGAACTCGTACGGGCGCTCGGATGAGATAATTGCCGCCGAGACCTTGGCGAATCATATACGCTGCAACAATAGCTTTGTGCAGGCCGTGTTTCAGGCACAGTTTCGCTCCTCGCTGACGTGTCCGCGCTGCCAGAAGCAGTCCAATACCTTCGATCCGTTCCACTGCATATCCGTGCAGCTGCCGCAGCTCACCCAGGTGACCATCTTTGTGACTGTGGTCTTTATGAAGCAACAGCCGCGCCAGCTCAAGATGGGCTTGCGTGTCCCGGCCGGTTCGCCCATTGTTGCGCTGCGCGAGCAGCTTCAGGAGACGGGCATTGCCCCCGACCGCATGGTGCTGGTGGATCTCAGCTCGGAGGGATTCACACGTGTTTTCTACGACACTCAGCCCGTGGAGACGCTGAGCAGCGTGGAGAACATATACTGCATTGAGGTGCCCGAAGTGAGTCCAGCCCCAAAGGCCTCCTTGGATGCAGCGCCTGCGGATGCCGTAGAAAAGCCGACGGCAGCTGCGTCACATTCCACGGATCTGCTGTTGCTCGTGGCCAATGTGCACAGGACGACGGCAGGAGCGGAAGCGGGCGAGGCTGATGGCAAGGACGTGTGCACGCGCTTTGGTGCACCCTTCAGCATGAAGGCGCCCAAGGATTGCAGCTACCAGGAGCTGCAGAAGCGCATGCTGCGCGAGATGTCCGCAATCCTCAAGCCGGAGGTATTTTCCTATGCAACGCCGTTGACGGATATGTTTAAGATACGTCTCCAGGATCCCTCCGCCGATCCGGATACGTATTTGGAGCAGGTGGAGCATCCGCTGCTCACCGAAATGATCGATATGGCGCTCTCAGTGCTCTCCTCAGAGGCGGGACCCACACACATTAAGCTGCTGCTGGAGTGGAGCACGCCCGAGACGCATTTCGTTCAGCTCCAATCGGATACAGATGCCATCGTGGAGCACGAGAGTGTGGCGCGCCTAAGCGCCAGCAAACCCAACGATACCGCCGCCCTGACGCTGGAGCAATGTCTGGAACATTATACCAAAGCGGAGACGCTCAGTGCGGAGGATGCCTGGCGCTGTCCGCATTGCCAGCAGTATTTGCCCGTGGTCAAGACCCTGGGCCTCTGGTCGCTGCCCGACATTTTGGTTGTGCACTTTAAGCGCTTCCGCCAGCACCAGGCCAAGGGACCGCAGGCGGCCAAACTGACCACCATGGTTAAGTTTCCGCTCACCGCATTCGACATGTCGCCGCATTTGGCCCGCGGCGTGCGCGAGTGCAACGGCGGCAACGGCCTGGGTCATGCCATGGAGCAGTCCAACAAGAAGTCACGCTCTGGCGACTCACGCTCCTCGACGTTGAATTCCCGCACGGAGCCCAAAGATACGCGCTACGATCTGTATGCCGTCTGCTATCATCAGGGCGATACGCTGGAAACGGGCCACTATACGGCAGCCTGCAAGAATCCATATGATCGCCGGTGGTACAAGTTTGACGATCAGCGCGTGAGCAAAGTGCCCGAGGTTGACATTGAGCAGGACATCATCAACAATGAGGCCTATATGCTTTTCTATCAGCGACGCAGCGTCGATCCAGCCGCCGAGTGTTCCGGCTCCAGTTCCAATTCGGGCGATCATTGGGTCTCGCGAATTGCACCGCCCACATCAGCTGCTGCCAAGGAGAAGGACGTTGCGACCACGACCACGGAAGCGCCTGAGCCAGTTCCAGTCGCAGCTGAGAAGTCAACCGCGCCTAAAGCTGTGGCTCTGCCCATTCCCATACCCATTGTTGCTTGCGAAATCGAAGAGGAGCCTGAGGGTAAGTACTGCTCATATTAGATTTTCGCATAGCCACGTTAATCCTTGCTCTTCTCTAGATGTTGCTGCAGCAGATGCTAAGTCCGCTTCAGCTCACGACCTGCTGAACATTGAGGCATTAGCTTTTGCAGATGCAGATCCCGAGATGGAGTCAGCTCCGCCGGCTGAGTTAAAGGCTGAGCCCGCTGCGCCTTTATCCACGACTTCAACGCCACAGCCGTTGCCTGAACCTGAAAATGCTGCCGTAGAAGAAGCTGATGCCGCGCAAATCTTTGCCATGGACGAAGACTGCCCGGACAAGCAGCGTGAGGCAGCTGCTGCACGCGAAACCGCGCCCACCTCGGCGGCCACTGAGCCAGCCAGCGAATCACCAACGCCTGCGGAGCCCACAACAAATGGCCATGCGGCCAGCTCGGGCACATCCTCAGCGTCCAGTTCAGCTTCATCGGTTAGCTCACTCTCGCCACGCTCGCTAAACACCTCCGTGACGGCGGCTAGCACGTTGCAAAGCAAATTCAATGGCCACATGACGCTGCTCAATGGCAATGCGACGCCGCAGTTGTCTTCCAGCCTGCAGCTGTCGCGGCATGCGCTGCACAACCACCACTGCAACCACAATTGGCACGGCTCACGCAGCAGCGTCTCGGCCATCGAGAGTGTCACACAGCAACAGCAGCAGCAGCAGCAGCAACAACAGCAGCAGGCGGCAGCGGCTAGCCTAAGTCTGCGGCACTCATTCTCCACCAGCTCCAATTATAAGTTGCGCGACTGCAGCGAGACGTTGTCTTCGCTGCTGCGCAACTCGGCCAACACGTGCAGCAAGGACACGCTCCTCTTCATAGATCAGCAGAACCATCATCACACGAGCGGCTTGATCGAGGACGATGACGATACGTACATGGGTCGCTCCTTGTGGGTGAGTGTGGTCTGACGTTTGACTAATTGATTATTTGACTAATCTAACCCTTTTGCCAGATATCGCCCGTTACGCCACATAAGTTAATTACCGTCTCTCCCAAGAATTAATGACGATATTGTTAATTGATTTGGATACGGACTCACACACACACACACACACAAACGCACTATAGCCATTAGCCTAAAGTTTACTTTATACTAAATATTTCGATCGATGAAGTTATATATATATACATATATATACATAAGCTAAAAGATGTTATACACAACGTTTACTTTAACAATTTGCGATTTACAAACATATATACATACTCGTATATATAATTATATATATACATATACATATACATTTATATAAACAGTTAGTTAAGCTAGTTAAGTGCAAAAGTTGTACCGATTTTCGTTTAATTTCATTTTAAGTTAACTTATTGAAGAATCGAGAATTTTCTTGAAACGATTGACATTGCATTATTTATATAATATTTATTTAGTATAATATGAAAGTACAAGATGATTTGATTTTGATTTCTCTTCATGCAATAATTTTATAATTTCTTTGATATATAAAACTAATTTAACGCAGAAAGTGCATGGCATATATAAGAAGAGGAAATACTTTAGTTTTTGTAACGAAACCGAGTTTCAAGCTGAGTATTCCATATGCATACTGCTAGTGTGTATATGTGTGTATATTTTCATTTCAATTACTACGTCTAGTATTCGCATTTTAATATTTACAAATGGTATATAAACATGAAGAAAAAATCAGGCACAGCTGCATATTTTGCTTTTTTTCTTGATATATATTAGATCGTAAGAGTTATACATTTGTAATGTATATTGTATGTGTAGGAAAGCATTAAACCAAAACAATATATTGATAACAAATGTTTAAAGACTTTGAAACATTGTTTTTTTGCATCATTTGTACACTTTATTATGTACATCATATATAATATATATGAACGATTCAACTATTGTGTGTTAAGAACATGTTTATTAATTGATGAATTGTGTATTGTACATTGTATTCATGAATAAACGTGAAATTGTTGGATATAAAATTTGCAAAACAAAACACAAATCACTGGGCATCGAAAAATAAAATAAAATGAAACAAACTATGGAACACAGTTGAAAGATGGAATGATATATGAAATACTAATACTAAGTAACTTGCCCTACATATCTGTTAATGCAGCCATATCTTTTGGGCAGTAAGAAAGTGATAGATTTAATATTTATCTTGCGCCTGAATATGTGCTACATGCGTATTCCGGAGCCTCCCAAAAGCATGCCTCAGTTCCTGCCACTGTCAACTTTGTCGAAAGTTGTCTTAAATTGACTTCTGCAGAATTCTGAAGCAAAGCTTTCTTTACACTTTCTGTGGCCACTCGACTCTCCCAATCTCTCGCTCGCTCTCTCTCTCTCTGCCTCTAGTTGTTGACCAAGTTCACAGCCAGAGGTTCAATGTCTGCTGCCTGCGCATGCAGAGCCTCAGTTCAGTTGTTGCACTTGCCGCGTCGAGTTCTGTGTTGCGCACGAAAATATCTAGGAAAAAGGAAAAGCAAAATTCTTGTGTGAGAGTCGCTTTTGCTGAGCAAGTTAATAAAAGACTATTAACGTAGGCCACTTCGAACATGGATTATCGTTTACTTGTGGTAAGTACTGCAACAATGTTTCAAAAGGTTAGCTCAAAGCAAGTTCGTTGCCTAAGTCTTTTGTTTTGCACTTGCGACCAGGCAAGAATTTACGGTTAGACTAAATTCTGGAGCAGCGTATATATATAGACATGCTAATGAATTAAAGTGACGGGCCAATTGGCTCTAGCCGCACACACGCAAACACACACGCACACACTCGACGTGTGTGATTTAAGCCTGGCATAGAGCAACTTTCCCGTTAGCTAAAACGTATTTAGAACAATTTAATAGCACACATACACAGGCACAAGCTAGCGACAAATTCTGGCCCCGTTGACCAGCGGTGCTTTGCTTTAAAGTCAGCCTTTAAATATAGTCATTAACTTGTGCAGAAACAGCAGTAAAATCTTGGACAGTTACAGCAGTTGCACACAAAGCCAGGTCGAGCACTGGGAGCTGCAATTAGTCAAGGCAGATGTCGTTGACAAAAGGCAACCATTCCAAAGGGCTTTTGGAAAAAAAAAAACACACAGAACGAGTTTCAGACAATAACAACAACGAGCACAACGCGTTGCTCATTAGAATAAATAAAAACCAAAGTATGAGAAAAAAGAACAACAGCAAAAGCCGCGTCTGACCCAATTTTCGGCACTTCGGAATGCCGAATTGTGGCTGTGAATCATGTCACGAAACGAGATGCAAAGCACTAAAACCGAGCACCCGCATCCCATACAAAATTGCTGAGCCATGGCTGTGACTCTCCCAGCATGGGTTCTGAGAAAATTCAAATGTGTTGGCCCAATTGGTAGGAAAAGTCACTTGACCCGAATAAATCCGCCGCCCCCAGCACACGCTTGAACTCTGTAAGACATTCTGTAAACTTTTGATTTCATTCAAAGTAGAAGGAAAAAAAAACTGACAGAATTTCAGGGAAAGTTTTTCGTCTTCCTCAAGTACCTAACAAATGAGATTAAGATGCAAAAGTAAGACGCTTGGTCAGTGCCATTCTTTGTTGTTGTTGTTGTTGCTGTTGTTGTTGTAGTTTGGGTTTGTTTATTTTGATGCTGGCGGAACAACTTTCGCGCTTTCGCCAACTGAGAGCGCGTCATTGTGCCCGCATCGGAGCATGGCCAATGCCAGATTCCAAAGCTGACAAAGCTATCCATTCAGATGGCAATTAATTTGACTTATGCTCTCGCGTTCTTCGTGTCCATTAAGCTAAATTGTTATAAATAAACTTGTTTTGCATTTTTCATTGTTTTCAAGAAAATACTCAGCTTTTTGCTGCTCGCCCAACTGTCGAGGGGGCAGCTGCCGCAGTCGCCGTCCCAGGCGTCGCCAGCAGATTACGGCGAGGAGCCGCCGGAGGGCTACTATGCGTTCGTGGAGTCGCCGAATGCGGTGCCGCCACGCGTGCGTCCACCTCCATATACGTTCATTAATGCGGACTGCAAGGATGTGGCCACAGGCAGGAAGTCGGCGGTGTCTGTGCACAACATTTGCGGCGATTTGAATAAGGGTCAAATACCCAGGAATCCGCTTGGGCAGAATGTCCTGGGCGAGCCGTATCCCTTGTAAGTGCAAACCTGACCAGCTCCAGCTCAATTGCTCAAATGTTTCTTGCCTCAGCGAACTGATACGCAATCAGACCTTAAAGTTTCTATCGAAGACGCTGCCCGTGCTGAAGGCGGACGATACGCTGCCCAAGGTAACGCAAATTATACGCGACGAGCCGGTCGATCAGCTGGACAACAACAATATCGATCGGCATTATGCTGCACGCGTCACACGCAGCCTTCCGGATGGCGTTGAGTCCAATGAGTACAGCTACTTTGATCCCGCCCTGGATGAAGAGCAGCAGCAGGAGAATAAGCAGCAGCAGCAGCGACGCGCCGCCGAGGAGCGCAAGCCACGCAAATTCTGCGATGGCGGTGGCGTGTAAGTCCTCACCAGAGTTCCAAGCTCCAGCTCTTGCGGCTTAACGAGCTTCTGCCTTGATTTCGTTTACAGATTTTGCACGCTGTACCGCGCCATTCAGGGCGACACCAGTCCTGCTGTGTCCGCTGCCCAGACAGCGGAGCGTCGCGAGGAGGTGGGACCCATACGCTATGAGGGACCGCCGACGCCCTGTCCGGCCAAGGTGGAGTATGCCACGCCCGTGTTTGCCAAAAACTATCAGGGCGCCTGGCGTTATGTGGTGCAGATACCCTACGAGGGCTATTTCACGCAGACCGTGGAGGTGACGCGCTGCATCCAGGCGCGTTGCCATTACCTGGACGGCGGCTGTCTATCGTCGCCGCGCTGGGTTAGCCTGCTGGTCGCGGAAATTTTCTATCCGAATGCCGAGGACACGGTGCCCAGCAGCAGCACGACCACGCCGGCGCCTTCGGTGCAGGACTTCCAGGCCTATCAACAGTATCTGCAGAAGCGCGCAGGCGTGGCCAACGCCTCCGATGGCAGCACGGCTGCACAAACGGCGGGCGCTGCGAATGCGCCACAAGATGCGCACTGCGACGGACACGATGAGCTGGGCTGCTTCCAGGTGCGGCTCTACTACGATTGGTTCTTGATACCCGGCTCCTGCAAGTGCTGGCGTCCCGACTACTTTGCCAAATATGTGCGCCGAAAGTCCGTCGCCGATTTGTAGGCTCCTAGTTAAACGTAACTCTTAGCATATATAGAGCGAGGCACGAGCGTGTGGCATGAAATGCTCATTCTAGTGATCCGAGCGTGGACTGCGCAGAGTTTGCATTTCTTGCAAGACAAATACATGAATAATATGTATACATATATATATATAAAGTAAGCAATTAGCTATCCTTGACTGAGTACCAAGCGCATTGAATTTCTACTAATAAATGTTTCTGCTATAATTGCACCACTGTGATTTCTGCCTGCTGGGATTCAGCCACAGCTACAGCTAGGCACGCGTTCTACTATGTTGGTATGCTGTATGTGTGTGTGCGTGTGTGTGTGTGTGTGTATATGCCAAACTAAGACCGAAAACCTGTCCCGCCAGCCGCTCAACCAGTTGCGCATGCGTGAGCGCCGCACGGCTCTGCAGTCTTCCCAACCAGTCGGTTGGGTTTGGATGTGGTGCCGCGCGCTCCTCAAGCAGAAAACCGAACTGCATTACATAGCCACAACAACAAAATTGTGCAAGCCAAGGCAAGCAGGCAGGCAGGCAAACAAAGCCTTGACAAACGGCCTCACAGAATCTCGCAGCTTGCAGTTTGTTTTTCCAGTTTCCAGTTTCCGCAGCAAGTGAGTAATTTGGCAGAAATTGTTGAAAATTGTTTGTTTATCAACAAAGCTAAAGCTCATCTTTCACATCTTTGTGTTGGCTCATTAGCTGCAAAGTTCGTTGCCTAAGTCTTTCGTTATGCAAATGCTTATTCAAAATTATGCATTGAGCGCAAATGTTAGCGTGGGCGAAATCTTTGATATATATTCAATTTATGCACGACTTTCCATTTGGTTATTATTATTGTTGATTTTTAGGAAGATGCTGTCCAATGGCAGCCAGACGGGCAGCCTCAGCTCGCTGGACGCGCTGCCCAAACAGTTTGTGCTGTCCATGAAGAAGCTCTTCGACATTCTGGATGATAAGCACAGCGGCTATGTACGCTATGCGGACATTGAGAAGGGCTGGCAGGACGACGGCTCCAAAGGACTGCCGCAGGGCGTGCTGGATTCGCTGCGTCGCGTAACGCCGCCCAGCGGGCTGCTATCCTTTGAGCGCTTCTGTGCTGGCCTGAAGCTGTGCTTGTTGCGCAACCAGCAGCAGTCACAGACGCATGACAAGCTGATCAAGCCGCCGCGTCCGCCATCGGCGCCACAGCTGCTGGGCCTGGCCATGGACAGCGGTGCGCCCACGGCCAAGGTACGTCCGCGGTCACAGCTGACGCTTAGCACGCCGCCACCGATGAGTCCCGAACTGGAGCATGACGAGGACTATGGTACGCCAGCGCCGCCGCCAAAGCCGCCGCGTCAATCGACAACTGGTCCGCCACTGGCCAAGGCGGACATACGCAACGCGTTGCAGAACTGGCAGCTGAGTCTGATGCACAGCGAGCAGCGTGCGGCGGAGGCATGCGCCAAGCAGAAGAGTTTGAAGACTGCACGCGAGCAATTCGAGCATCGCGGCTCCGCTGATGGCGGCTCCTCATCCACATCGGCAACGGATTATGCACTGGGCGGCCTGACGCTGGCGCTGCCGCCCAAGAAGTCCAATAACAAGCGACGCGAATCCCGTCGGCACACATTGCAGCACGGAATAGACTATAATATGCTGAAGCGACTGAAGCACCTGGAGGAGCAGCGGGAGCTGCTGCTGTTTGGCCTGGATGGCGTAGAGAAGGCACGAGATTTCTATATGCAGCAGGTGCTCAATGTGCAGGAGCAGATCAAGTACTTTGGACGTCTGGGAACGCGATTTGTAAGTGCCAAAACTACAATATATATCTATAACACTTCATATATATATATATATATACGACATCTAACCAGGAGCAATGGTCTGAGCTGCAGCAGGAGAGACTCAACTATCAACGTGCTCGCGTCCTGGAAGCCAACCGCAGCTTGGCCCTGCTGACAGACACCTGGGATCATGGCGGTTATCCACTGCACATTAATCTGGCGCTGCCCCGCAAGTCCCTGCAGCACTTCAACTTTAAGCCGTACGCCTCCAATGATGCCGAGCTGCTGGCCTGTGAGAAGCAGGCGCTCATGTCGGAGCTATACGAGCAGCAGCAGCAGCATACACAGTTCCACAATCTGCGAAATATGTCGGACTTTGTGCTCAGCCAGCCTTCGCCTGTGAGCCAATCGTCGGCGGGACTGGGTGATGCGGATGTTGTCTATTAAGAAAAAATAACAATTTGAAAGACTTTGTAAATATTTGAACATATATTGTAATGGCGATCAAAGCATTAGCTGCTGCTACTGAGGATTCGGGAAGCGTCTCATGTATTTGTTCAGCTGTTTGTAGTTTAGATTATTGCCGGGCTGCACGATGCCCTGGTTGACGGTCTTTTTCGCCTCGAATTTGCGATCCATGTAGAACTTGTAACATTTCTGGAACTGATTGATTTCCTTGTTACAATACTTCTCCACAAACTCGTTGTCCTTCAGGCAGGCAAACAGCACGCCCATCTCCTGCAGGCATGCCACATCGGAGCCGGAATCGGCCTTGCCACTGACTGTGTTTTTTAGCCGCAGTGGCAATATCTCCTGAAATGGCACCTCCTTTTCGTTTTGTGGCGCACGGCCACGTGCCGCATATAGAGCTCCCGGTATGCGCATCTGTGGGTATTTATTAAAATGCACATTTTCTATCAGGTTGCACGGTTTTTTGATAATTTACCTTTTTCTTTGCTGCTCTCGCCTGCTGCTGCAATCAGCTGTGCGCTGTTACGTCAAAAGAAAAGTGTGCGTTTGTCAACACTAGCAGCAGCAGCAGTTTGACGTTTCTCAACACTGTCGGACGTCAACCTCTGATCAACTAAAAATTTACACAAATAAAAAAAAAATACATATGGTAGAAATAAATAATACTACAAAACATGGATGCCGTTGATGACAACCACCAGGCGCCGCATCTAGCCGACTTTGCCGGCAACAACGAGGCGGACCGAGAACAGATCGATGCCGCAGCAATAATGAATGATGCAAAACTCGCAACAACTGGTGCTGGTGTGTGGGAACGTCAGCTCTTTCGGTTTCATCCATACCACGGCTCTAACATACGCTTAGATGACGATGCCACAGTCGCCTTTCGGCGCACCAGCTTCGCCGATGCACTCACATTCTCCGAGCGACCGTTGGTAAGCACAAATCGCACTCAATCCAATATGTATCTATGCGGATGTATGTGTGTGCATTGCGGCCAGGCGGCACTTGGACGAACCAAATATGTTAATTGATTTATTACATTTGTTTTATGTTTCAGGCGCCCGGCGAAATATTTCTAGTAGAGATTGAAAAAATTGAACGCGGCTGGTCGGGCCACATGCGACTGGGTCTTACGGAGCTGACACCGAATGTCATCGGCATGCGCAGCGAGGGATTACCTCACTTTGCACTGCCCGACTTGGCCAATTTGGGCAACAGCTGGATATATCCGATCTCAAAATTCGAGATGAATCAACGTCAGGAGCAAACCGGCGAAAACGTGGAGCTCATTCCAAATGAGCCGCCACAGCGTAAGTGCATCCAGTGTGGCCACCAAAACGAACCTGAATTAACCATCGCTTCCATTCCACAGGTAATTTACTGGGCGATGCAACGCATGTACGTACGCCGCGTGGTTTACTGCCCAAGCGGCTGTTGCGACCCTCGATGGACAATGGCAACTCCGATATACTGCTCACCGACAGAGGCTCGCGCATTGGCATTATGTATGTGCCCACGGAGACTGACGCATCCCAGGGCGAATTGCACTTTATTATCAATGGCGTGGACAGGGGACCAGTCACCAAGGATATACCACTAAATAGGTCACCTTTATATGTTGTTATTGATGTTTATGGCACAACCAAGCAAATACGCATCATACAGTTGGAGGGCAGTAAGTAATCGGATTTCATACGTAATTTAATTTAGCCTTATTTAAACATCCATTTTCAGTTCTGTCCTTGCAAAGTGCTTGTCGCAATGTTATACTGGAGCACATCGCAACTGGCGCCATTGCGCGGCTGCCGCTGCCGGAGAGCATCAAGCGTTTCTTGTTGCGTCGAGATTAGGAACTGAGAGACAAGGCACACAGTCACAGACACACTTTATGTAATAGAGTGCTGTTTGTGCATGAGCGTGCGTCGTGATAGCCTGTTTACCCATTTATATATTTTATACGCATCGTAGGCAGCTGAAGTGCCGTTCATTGACTTTTCATTCCTCACAAGCGCCTCTGGCGTACACGTTGCTTGCCCGCGCCCCCACCATCTTCTCAGCCTGCCGTGCTCAATAAAAAGGTGGCTCTCGAGTGGGGAGACAAACTGTTGCTGTTTCTCCGACGGCTCAACGGTGTTGATGGATATTTCTAACGAATTTGTATTTTTCATTCTGTAGATATAGCTTATAATACTTTGGTTCCGTGATACCAGTTCTTTATATTTATATTTTATATATGTAGAATATGTTCGAAAGCATCACATGTATTTTACTCACTTTCCCGTCTAAATACGTACATACCCATGAATATGTACAACGCGATCTGCTTAAGCATATAGAACGAAAGAAACCGAACCCTATTTAAATTCGCAAAAGCCGTATCTCAAAAACCAAGCACCGATCTGCCTTTTATGCCGTTTCGGTCTATCCCAGGGCGACTTCCGTTTCCGTTATGTACCTTTAAGAATATTGTTGCTAAATGTAATGTAAGATATAATTACAATATTGTAGCATGTAAATTCTATGTAATAACACGATATAATATAATAAGGGATAAAAGTGTATGTGCATTGTATGTAATAAAGACATAATATAATAGGACCTTATTGTATGTGTATTCATATAATAAAGTTGAATGGAAATCATTGAATTTTTTGTAAAACCTAACTTTGTGTTTAACACCACAACACCGAATAAGAAATGGGAAGGCCCCTTGATGATTTTTGTTAAATTTTAGAAATTAAAGTAGATTTTTTAGAATGCCAATCGATTGCCGTGATTCGTACGGGACTATTACGGGCACGTATATCATTCATGATTGATGTCATGATTTGACTTTGTTTACCCGACAGATTTTGTAAAAACTTAAAATTTTATTTTCCAACTGGCGGGAAATATGAGCCAGGCGCCAGGCAACGCCCGCTGGTGTTTACACATATATATTGCATAAATGTTACTGCTACTACTTGGCGCGATTCTCGGCCAGTTTGGCTTTGAAGAGTGCCTTCAGCTCCTCGGCACCTTCCACGTTGACCTCCTTGTAATAGGGCAGCTCAGCCAGAGCCTTCAGCCAGGCATGCACCTTGGGAAACTTGAACTCATCAATGGGCGCCACATCATTGCCGGATGTCACGGTGGCCACACAGCAAAAGTCAGCAATGGTCACCTCATTGCCGCATAGGTATGTCTGATCCTTGAGGAAGCCCTCCAGTATCTCATAGCACTTTTGCACGTACGCTATCTTATCGATGGAACAGTCTGTGGAGCCATAATAGAGCACAGGCTCATAGAGAAAACGTAAACGGGCAAACAGATGACCCGAATCTAAATGTAGGCGTGCATCCACATTGGCGCGCTGCACCAAGTCCTTGGGGTACAGGGACTCGTGTCCCTTGCCGTATTTCTCAACCAGATAGGAGCATATGGCATGCGAATCTATGATGGTGACATCGCCATCGATCAATGTGGGAATAGTGTGCTGTGGATTCAATTTCAGAAACTCTGGCGTCAAATGTTCACCTTTCAGTAGGTTAATTGGCCTGCGAAAAAAGTATTTGTTAATTGGCTAAATGCATTGTAAGCGGTAGGGAAAGGGAGAAGGGGGATCTTGCACTTACCGCAGTTCAAGTTCAAGACCAATCGCCTTGGCCGTGAGCAAGACGGCGCGCGATGGCGGACTCAGTGTCGCATAGTATAGGGCTGGCTTCGACATGGCTCAAACTAAGTGATAAAAATAATATTAGATATTTAGCGGAATGTAGAACACATACGATACGGCTAACCGATAAGCTCAGTGCATGACTAATTGTTTACCACCGCTCACATAGCTAAACATCTCCAGGTAGCAGGCCAGCGCCTACCCTGTGCCTCAGGTTTGTCTATGTTTACGGTTGTATGCTTGTCTCTATGGCACAATATTGTCTGATAACCCACAGGCGATAAGCCGATATCAAGCACATAACATATGTATGGGTGTGTACAGTGAAAGCTCCCTTAAGCGGACAAGTCTGTCTGTTAAACAAATAATATAAACATATTTTCATATTCTTATGTATGCCACAGGTAGCAGTTCGTTAGAAAAGCTTTCACTGCATATACCCTGTAGAAATCGAACTATTTGCATGTTATCTGCTGACCGGCAAAATGTTATACACCCAGTTAATATACACAGTAGCTACACACACATACATATACATATATATATATAGACATGCATATGTACGTGTGTATATTCACATAGACGAAAAAGCGACAGAGCGCAGCACAAACAATATAAATTTAATTAGTAAGGGGCCAGACTCACACACACGCACACACATATATGCACAAACTAATAGGAAAAAAACGGCCAGATCGTGCCTTTTTATTTTTATTTTTTTTTTTAAAGCCCACACAACAACACTAGCCGTGCCGGCAAATTGTTGTTTTATAGCGTTTATTTGTACGTGTGTGCGCGCGTGTGTGCTTGGCGTGAGAATAACACCAATATACAAGTCGTATATAATTTAGAGGAGTTCCCTCTATGCTGTGTAGGGATTTTGCGCATCCAATCTATATAGACTATATACTTACAAAAATGTACACAAATAGCAACAAGTTCTTCTTTTTTCTATGACCGCTCGCTTTGAACTCGGAAACGTGACTGACGCTTAACAAATTTGTGCGAGCAGCGCTCAGTGAATAAAATGAGAGAGAGAGAGTGGGTGTAGAAGAGAGCGCGCCAGAGCTTAGAACTCGGATCTCAAATATACACCATGCATGTATGTATGTGTGTATGTATGTATTAGCGCGCGAGAGGCGTTTTGTATATTTCTCTTGGTTTATTCATAGAGTTTTGGTGTACATGCGTGTAAACGCGTTATTAGAAGCACGTCAACGAGTATGTCGATTATATATTAACTATTAAATATGATATAATGTATATAATACCAGCATTTTGGGGATTTTGCTTTCGCCTTACGACATTCAATGTATCCGCAACATACACACTACGGAATATACATATATATGTAGATATAATACACAATGACAATTGCCAAACAGTGTTCATTATGGAGCACAAAATAAACTATAACAATTGAAAGCGATAATATTTAACGATTTTGGAAAGTTGCTTTTAACCGGAGCACAGCTATATCTGGTTATTGCGGACATTCGTGTCGTTATTTAGAGATTGTTCGTATGCAACATCACATTTGTAACTGTTGTTTTAACTAATGTTTGTTTTGTTTTGGATTCGAGAACTATTCAGTTGTCCAGCATGCTGCGCTTTAGCGCCTCCTCCAGATCGGCATCAAAGCTCTCGGGCTTTGAATAGTCCGCCGCAAATTTATCCGTCGCCTTGCCGCCCAGCGCCTCTTTGCTCTTCTTGGCGGCGGCGGCGCTTCCATTGAGTTTGCTTTTGTTGGCGTTGCTGTCGTCGAGGGATTTGCCAAAGTCACTGGAGAAGTTGTGTGCATCGAATGCATCAAATTTAGCAAAATTATTGTCCAGAGTGGTCGAATTGGTGAGCTTATTGGAGCTGAAGCTATCCTCAAAGTTGTCATTGAAGGCATCAAACAGTTTGGAGTCCTTTGTTGTTGTTGTCGTCGTCGTTGCGGCAAATGCATCAAAAGCGGCCACCTGCGACTTGGTCTTAATTTGTTCGCTATTGGGCTTAGCCTTCAGGGTGTCCAAATTGTTGTCATTGAAATTATCATTAAATGCATTGAAAAAGGAATCATTCAGTTTGCTCTGCGTTGTCAATCGCGCCGCTGGAGACTTCTCCAGCGCAAAGTCATCGAAGTCGGCGAATGCATCCAGCGCTTTGGGCTGCGATGCGCTCGAATGATGCGATGGCGCTGGACTGGCATTCATATTGAATGCATCAAATTGTTGCAACAATTCGCTGCTCAGCGGAGTCGCCGTCTTTGATTTGTTATTGTTATTAACGGGCCGGCACGCGAGCTCATCTGCAGTTGGAAAATAATTATTAGCATTGTTTTGATAATTGGATGAAGAAAGGAGCAACACATACAAATGGCCATCTACAAACCCATTAGACCCATCGTGCGGGGTGCCAAAGAAAAAGGAATCTATATTTGGCAACCCGAAGGATGGAGTTTATGGGGTTTGTTGCAACCATTTCCAACTCACCCTCCGAGCTAAAGTCTTCGGCAAAGTTCTTTTTGCTAGCTCCACCCGCTGATGTACTCTCATCATCGTCTGCAAAGGGATCTTTGATATTGAATGGATCCTCATAGCGATAGTCCTTGAAGGGATCATCCTTAAAATCTGTCGGCCCTTGTATAACTGCAGGCACTGGCGTCGGTGCCAGTTTACTGCTGCTGCTGCCGCCAAACGCATCAAAGAGGCCCGTCAGTGATCCACCGCCAGTTCCAGTGCCCGCTGTTGCCTGTGTCTGCAGCGGTGTATTGGAACGCGACAAATGTTGGTTATTTGTGCTGCTGCTGACCTGTGTGGAGGCTGATGCGGGTGCTGATGTCAATGTTGATGTCGATGCCGATGTCGATGTCGATGTCGATGTCGATGTCAATGATGTCGATAGCAGTGTGTGCTGGGAGGCTGTTGGGTGGTGCAGTGGCAGTGGCAGTGTTGGTGTACTAGAACTGGCTCCCTTACTCTGGCTTTGACTCTGGCTATCATCGAACAGCGAGAAGCTATCGAGCAGCGTGGCGTTTAGCGCTGGTGTTGGCGTGTTGGTATTTGAGTTACCGATTGGAATGTTTTGTAGCTGTGTCAGTGGGTGAAATGAGCAAAAAAAAAAAAATTGGCGTGTTTGTGTGTAGAAGGAATAAAAATAAACATAAATCAAATTAATTAAAAAAAAAAAATTATAAAAACAAACTATCAAATCAGAGTATGTACAAACAACAGTGAGGAATTCAAACCAAAAACCAGAAAGGATCATAACAAAAAAAAAAACTTTAAGCTATGCATATAATATAGACGCTGTTGTAGCTGCTATGGCAGAGAGGAGGAACACCTGGATAAAACAAAGCTAATATAACCGGATGCGACAAAAATGTTTCTTTATTTTCGTTATGGTTATATTTTGTTTATCATAACTCACTTGTTATATGTATTATAATTGTTATTATTAATGATGTCGAACATAGATATTTATCTTGTTTAATTAATGCAAAAACTTGTTTATGTTACACATTAGTAGGGTACCCATTATATGCATAAGTATGTATGTATTCATTAAACATTAAAATCAATGTACGGGAAGCTTTAGGTTTCGGTATCTGAACAGTTTCGTGGTTGTTTATATATATAGTACACACGCCTTTCTATATCGGTGTATATCTATCAAACAAATATCGTAACATACAAAAAATAGTTGTGTGTGGGACTAGATTATCATTTATCGTTTACCAATTGCCAAGTTATTCGATCCAACTGCTACTTCTACTCCTACTCCCTACACCTAGTCGATGGCAATGTGTCTTCAAAGGCATTAACAAGTTGCTTCAATAACCGGCTGATACTATGGCTCTAGTTGGAAAGCAATATGAGTACGAGTTAAATGTAACTTTCATTTCTCGAAAATGATTCAATAAACAGAGTAAAGCAATCTTGGAAGTTACATGCTAATGAAATTCGAGCTATATCATGTGGATCCACAGGTTGTGTATGCGCTTATGTTGAGATGTCGAACAGCAATTATATAATATGTATTTGATAATTGCTATAAACTTTAGTATCATATGCAGAAACAACAACAATTTGCATTTAAATTCCTTAATTGAGTTATATATCAATCTATCAATCATATTGCGACTAGCATTTCGTTCAAACTAAACATCCGCAGCATGAATTATTTGTTTATGATTAATAATCGTATGCTTATTTGGTCTTTAAACGAAAAGAAATCTCAGTAATTAGAATAATTATAACATTTGAAATTGTGACGTTCAATTAATTTATACCTTTAATCTTTGACTACATTAAATACGACATAACTTTTTTCTGGGTTCTTGTAATATCAATTGATTGTTTTTTTTTTTCTTTTTTTTTCGAATTCGATTTAGTACATTTATCTAATTAGGCATGAAAATTTCGAGTATTCTAACGGCCGAATACGAATACGCTGCCGAATCGAACTCTGATATATGGACTTTATATGCAATGTTTATAATATAATATATGCAATTAGGTTTTGTACGCTTAAAATTTGTTGCTAGGCTCAACTTTTGACTGAGTATGTGTATTTGTGGTTCTGAGTGTTTGTTAGTATTATTATATTAACTTTGTTATATTATGTATACATATATATAAATATAATTATATATATATATATATATATATATTTATATGCATTTATTGAAATATGATATTTATTAAGATGTTCACTGAAAATAGAGAATTGCAAGAGATGAAAGCAAATAGTTAGTTTCGTACGGGCAGCAGAGTTAAGGCAATGTGTTTAAGGAACAGATACCTCTTGCGTTCTTGGTCAAAAACAATAAGCCATATTCAAAACATTATTGCAAAAAGATACTTCTATTCAAAAATAACATGTGCAAAATAATGCTTGTTTATTTGTTAGGTGGCATTAAGTCAATCCAAAATTAAAACAACTACAACAATTTGAAGGTGGGTTAGTGATAATAATTAATAACGATAATAATAATTGAATAATTGCACATATATATATAGATATATGTATATAATGACGTGTTAATGCAAACGAAAACTTAACAATCGTGAACAATTTTAACTAATTAACAAAATAATTGTTGCTGTGGTGCGGTGTGCATGCATTACCACCGATCCCAATGTACATTAAACTTGCTACCAACCTTATTGTCAAAGTCTTCAAAATCAGCAAATCCTCCGCCGCCGCCGCCAGCGCTAGAGCCGAAGCCGCCTGTTGGCTAAAATGTGGCAGATACATTAACACATATTATTAGTTATTTGACTTAAGTTAGACTCAGCCATTTACCTGTGCTGCGCGTGGTGGAGCTGGTCTGGGTGGCGGCACCTTGGATTTTTTTGGTGGCAATGCTGGACTGGGTGACTCCGGTCTGGGTGGTGGGCCTGAGCGTTGCGCATTGGGACTGAGCACCTGTCCCTGACCCGTGGGCGCATGCAGCGCCGCGAACGGATCGCTGCCAAAGTCATCCTTGCCAGGCTATGTATATGCATTCGTGTATATAAAAAACTATTTTGTCCAAAGCCAATCATCGTTGCACTCACCTCTGGCGTTATGGCAGTGGATTTAGTGGCACCGAATGCATCACTACCAAACGGATCGTTGCGTTGCGTTTGCCCAAAACCACTTGCATTGCTCTGGCCAAACGCATCAAAGCCACTATCAAAGCCGGAGCTCATGTTGAAACTATCATCAAAGCCGCCGGTAATGGTGGGCGTGGGTTTGCTGGCCTGGCCACTAAAGGGATCGTTGCCAAAGCCATTGGTAGCCTTGTTGGCAGCACCGCTGTTGTTCTCCTCGAAGGGATCTTCTTTGGACATATCGATTTCTTTTTGCAGCGTTTTGCGCGCATCATCAAAGTCCGGCTCGATTTTTAGCTGATATTCCGAGACTAGCTCAGCATTTTGATTCTCCATGGCGGCGCGACAAATGAGCAGCGCATCGGTCATTTGGCGCTGCGTTTCCATCAGCTGTGTGACCATGGAACGCACCTAAAATAAA